AGGTAGTATAGAGAAGTTTTGAGAAAGATTTTTGGTACGATCAACGACGAAATAACGAGGGAATGGTAGTGGGAGCTGTAGATTGAGAAACTATATCAAAGGCCCAATACTTAAGAAGAAATAATAAAGAGAATATTGAAAATTGAAACGGGCTGAGTGTGTGCATACATGACATAAAATAAATACACTATACTCCATCAGATACATGAACCTGAGTTCCTCGTAGAAAGATCTCTAGGACGACTAAAGTCGAAGAGCGAAGATAACGTTCAAAAAGAGTAAAATAAAGAAACCTATGAAACCCTAAAACTAGAGCTGATTGTTGAACGTCTACAATTGACAGAGACGAGTGATTTTTCGACTCTAAATAATAACCATTGATAAAAACAACATTATTTTTAACAGGTCCGAAAATAATGTAAACAATATTCTTTCACGCGTTTGCAATGGCGGTTTTGGTTGTATTTTTTTAGTGAGGCAACTTAAGGAAAAACATAAAAAAAATTATATCCAGTATAGTATACCCAACAATATTCCAAACAGACTTAGTTTTACCCAATAACAAATACGGCCAACAAAACCATTTTTGTGTGTGATAACTTCCACATAATCAAGAGTGTAGTTGAAATAAATTTGGATGAAATGACCTATAGAATACCATGCTTAGTTTTTTGTCAGGAGTCAAAACTGACAAAATCGGAATAGGCCTTTTGCCTACCTACTTTTAGTGAATCATTTCCACTTCCAGAATTCCAACGTCGAAATGGTGTTTCCAACATAACAACCTCGTCGGTCACTGGATTTATAATACAAATGTTGAATACAAAGCACGACGACACGCGTAAACAAATTTAAACGAACCAACACGAGCGATGATTTGAACATGACATAAATTTATATTTATGTCTAATATTACTAATAATTGTCTAATATTTACTAATATTGAAATCGGTTACATTGTGGCGCTGTGACAATGATAAATAATTTATGATCATGTGTTTTGTTGTTGAATGTGCCGCAGTCGTGTCCGCGGGCTTACCACAATACCACATCTATGTCTAGTACACAGAGGCAATGGAAAACGAGCCGCACGATGGTCATTGCGCATGCGCAATTCTGCTTATTAAACAGTGGCTGAATCGCGTGCATACGCGCGTGCGTGTGTAATTAATGTAAAAAAGTAAAAGTTCAAAGGCGACGTTAAACGGTCGCCTCTCTGACGTCATCGGAACATTACGGCCGGCTGAAATGTCAGCGTTTGTTTACGGAATAATAATTTCGCGCATTTCTTATGGGTTTATCGCTATTTTTAGTAATAAACGCAGAATAATATTAAACAATAATGAAATAAATGATAATTCATATTATTAAACTTCGTAAAGAAGAATTTTTTTCTCAAATAAAATCATAATTGCCTACGCTAAAAATTACTGGCGAAATATGTGCCATCGGTGAGCGAAGAAGTATACTTTTAGAGCATTATATACTACAATATTTTAGGCTAGGCACCGCCTCACTTGCCTCACCCTCAAAGCCGCCACTGCGCGCTCGTATAATGCAAGATAAATAAAAAAAAACCTTACACATTACATTTTATAATATAGTTAAAGTGTGTCGTCACTGAACAAAAGCAATTCAATGTCATTATTGAACAGTAAAAGTTATGTTAAGTATATTATGACGTGTATATACTATAGAAAAACTACTCGATTTCAAAAGAAAATGATTTGTATATTTTTAACGCGTTTACTGAAACTTTACAAATAAATATTATAAGAGGTTTTTATAAAAAAAACTCTTTGACAGTCGTATTTATAATTTAGGTATACACGACGTCATACGGTTTTAAAACTGAATTTTAAGTTTTATGTGTTTTTTTTCTTTTGGCTTTTGTGGATAAAAATATTTTTTTTTATATTATAAACGCTCAAAAATTAGATTAAATTGCTAAAAAACAGGTATCATCAAAAATCGATTTCAGACGCACAATCGTGATTTTTCAAAAAAGGAGGGCGGGTCCAAATAATAAATAATTTCATAATACAATTAAACTACACATTTTTAAGTTAAATATACTGGTTAATGTAATTTTCATAGTGTTATAGTCAGGCTTCGTATTTTATAGTGTTTGTTAATTATTATAGCATACAGATTAAAATAGCAAAGTAAACTTTGCATTATTTTGTTT